TATGTTTTGTTTTCTCCGATGTACCTGCTCTTCTCAAATGAGAAACACTGCTAATTAGACACCATATGTGGGAAGCATTATTTCAGAATGTAACAACATTAGGGAAATGTTCAGTCTATGCCAACCTAAGTTTACCTCTTCCATATTTCCAGCAAATATCCAGAAGTGCTCTGGTCAAATTTTTCATGAAATGTACCGGGTGCAATGGCTTGTAAAAACACAACATCAACAAGGTGGCATGCCAATGTTGACATCCCTGAAATGAAGGCTACATTGGAAGGCATCGTCCACACTTCAGATCATTCCGGAAAGGAGTTTAAAACTTGGAACATTGTTCACTTTAGATTTATTTGTTCTTAGTTTTAACTTTTTTTTTGAGTATCCGTTGATCATTTTTGGCACGCTGAAACTCTGCATCGGTGATATGTATGCCTTATCAGATCGAGCTACAACTATGAAGTGGAAATCGAGGGCAAATGGAAGGAACTGAGGCAACTATTAAAAGTCTCGCTGGGTTAGATCCTGCTGATACTATGGTGAATTGGTGATGCAGCAAAGTTGCAAAAAGTATCTTCCAGCCCTGCATGCTTTTGACTACAGCTGATTGATACTTTTATATCATTGTAGAATCAATACCACGTAATCACTCTATTTCTAAATATAAGCCTTTTAGGGATTTTAATACGCACTACATTCGGATGTATAGACATATTTTAAAGTGTAGATTCACTCATTTGCTATGTATGTAGTTCATATTGAAAACTCTAAAATAGCTAGTATTTAGAAACGGAGGGAGTATAAGCGAAGGACAAAATATATTGAAGTAGTCTCCACCAATGACTGGTGGTGTATGAGTTGAAAAGTTTGTTGGAAGAAGTTGAAAGTAGACGAAAGTGGTGTACATCAATGTCCTACATGTCCTGATACAGCACCATGGCCAAGGTACTCTCCTGCTACATTATGTTCTAAAACATTTTTCTTTTGTCATCAGGTATAGAATACTAATGCGTACAATAGATATACACTGACGAACAAGCGAATCCAGTATATCTTTTTTTCCGGTGTATATCTATTTTTTATAGAAAAGGTAATCATCCTTTTCTTAAAAAAAAGATATACACCGAGGAACAAGCGAATCCAGTATTTGCATTCTTTGGAGCACAAGGCCACATAAATATGCAAAAAGTGTTGATTGTGTTGTTTCCCATGCAGCAAGACGGACTGGGTATACCGCCCGAGAGAAGAAATTTATTGTGACAGTAACTCCAAATGACAGATCGTTGGATGCTGAGTACTACTCCCTTTGTCCCAAAATATAAAAACGTTTTTAACACTAAACGTTTTTATATTCCGGGACAGAGGGAGTATTTTCAAGTGCAAGCAACAGAGCATCTGCAGAGTGAAGCACCACTGCCTCCGCTTGCAAGCAAAACAGCTGATGAAAATACCCTTGTGGCTCCATCGTATCCCTAACATACCCCACAAGAAAATGCACTGTTGGAGTTAGAACAGAATAAGGTACAGAGAATTAAATTATATTTTCATACATTGCATCGGTCCAAAAATTTAGTGAACCATTTTTAGACATCGGACGACATGGCCCCTTCCAAGGAAAAAGAGGAGGTCTGCAACTGGGGAAACTGATGACCTAACCGCAGATTCCAAATCAAAGAAAGCGTTACCACAATTTAATTACAACCAGTAATGGAATACCTGAATGTTTACAATACTGACAAGATGTTACTGAATAATATGCACATCTGTTGTAAAAGAGTTGTTCCCTCTAAAAAGTGATAAATAAAAAAGAGGCCTAACGTCCATAAGGAGTACAGCGCATTTCAAGTCTATCATACCCCACTGATTGAAAATGCCGCTGCCTGCTTTGTAAACATGTATCGTCCCCTTCTGAACTGAGTACATTGTTCTTTTGTGCTATCTCAAACCGAGGTGCTTTTGGCTGTAATAAGATCTCTCTGCTCACTCGACAGCTTGGTGAATCCAATGTTTACCCATTATTTCTTTGTGTTCAGCTAGATCACCATAATATGGTCGCGAGTATCCACGACATGTGAGAAAAGTTGCCGATAAATTTTAAGTATGAAAACAAAAGCTGCCAGAGTTGCAAATGATAGTTCAACTGGTTAGAATGCACTGGCCAGCGGAAAGAAAAAAAGAAAACATGAAAACTGCGTCGCGATTCGTGTCTCGTGCGCATCCGACGGCTTGCCTCTTTCACCCGCGTTTGCTACCACTCGGCCTCTCTCTTCCGCCGGCCGCCGCCAAAACCAATCCCCAAACAACGATGCTCCGCCGCATCGCCGCCCTACGGCCGCCGCCGCCGCGCGCGGTGGCGGCGGCGCTCGTCGGAGGGGCCGACGCAGGCTACTCCTCCAAGTCCACCTCCCTCCCCCAGAAGCAGCAGCGCGTCCGCGACCACGCCTTCGACGGCATCATGGAGGTGCAGAAGCGCGTCCGCCGCTTCCTCGCGCTCCACGCGCTGCTCCTCTACGCCGCCACCCCCACCGCGCCCTCGGGCAAATTCTCCGCCGGGGGCAGCGGCGCGGTCTCTGTGCCCTTCTCCCGCCTCGGCGCCCTCTCGCGCCGCCAGCTCCGCCTCGCGCCCCTCGACGCTGGCAACTTCATGCTGCGCCACCCGCACGCCTTCCACCTCTTCCTCCACCCGGTCCACCGCATCCTCCACGTGCGCCTCACCCCGCGCGCCTCCGCCGCGCTGCGCCTCGAGGCCGACGCCATCGCCTCCCTGCGCCCCGGCGCCGTCCTCCGCCTCCGCAAGCTGCTCCTCCTCGCGCCCCCGCACCACCGCCTCCGGCTGGAGCACATCCGTCTCCTCCGCCGCGACTTCGGCCTCCCCGACGACTTCGCCGACTCCGTCATCCTGTCCAATCCCGCTCTGTTCCGCCTCACGCCTGACGGGTTCGTCGAGTTTGTGCCCTCCCCTGACGACCCACCCGACCTCACCGTCGCCGCCGTCGAGCGCTCCCGGGAGCGCCACTACCGCGAGCACCGTGCTCCCGGCGCTGGCGAGGAGGACGCGCGCTTCGCGTTCCCCACCCGCTTTCCGCCGGGCTTTAAGATTGGCAAGTATTTCCGCATTGCAGTTTGGAAGTGGCAGCGCCTCCCCTACGCTTCCCCGTATGCGGACGTCTCTGGCCACGACCTGCGCTCACTTGAGGCACAACGCCGCATGGAGAAGCGCGCTGTCGCTGCTGTCCATGAGCTGCTCTCTCTCACCGTCGACAAGCGTACCACGCTCGAGCGTCTCGCGCTCTTCCGTGACGCCCTTGGTGTGCCGAAGAAGATTAAAGAGTTCTTGCTTAAGTATCAGGGGATATTTTACATATCAACAAGAGGAAACCAGGGGAAGCTGCACACTGTGTTCCTCAGGGAGGCATACTATAAAGGGGAGCTTTTAGATTCCAATGAGATACATGACGCAAGGCGGAAGCTGGAGGAGCTGCTCTTGATGAGCCGAGAGAAGGCGAATATGGATCGGATGTTCACCAGCATGGGCCGTGGATGGGATGAGCTTGGTGGTGGTCGTCGTGGAGGAGCAGAATTGAGGGAGAAGTTTCTTGGGGATGCAGGTGGCAGAAAGAGGAAAGTTGGCGCTGACGATGAGGACGATGGTGCCGATAGTGGGGAGGACTCGGGAGTTGAATCACTCTACATCGACTGAGGAACAGAATCATACAACGGCACTGAATGTCATATAGTGTAGCCTGAGTTCTGAATCTGGCATGGGAACCATATTGGAAGATTGATTTATCATGCTAGCATCTACACCATGGTGTAGTGATCTTGATTGATAAGAGAGTGTTGTATTCTGAGGTGAAATTTTGAGTGAGAGGTCTCGTCCTAAACTTGCGGACACTATGGATTGGGGAAGTTATCACCCTCAATGCTGCCATGCATCTGCACTAGGATGGTTGATGGAATTTTCATTTGCTCAGCATTATGTGAAGGGACAAAGACACAAGCAAGAGAACTCCTTTCTGCCCCCAAGCTAATTTGATCAGTGTCTTTTGACTTGTGAGTAACTCTGGATCTATTTCACTCATTGCTCCCATGGAAAACTGTTTGTGTTATGGATGGAATATCACCATAGCAACATTCTGTCAGTCAGTTCTATGTTTTGCAACATATTGTAACCAAACAATTGATACTGTAATCGGTTAGATGATCTGCAAATAAAATCAGAAATGCTGACGGGGCGTCAGAAAAATCCCAGTGCTTTGGTGTGTTTTTGTGTTTTTTGGTCAGTGCTTGAACACATGTTTTTGCAGCAGGGGAGTTGAGAGCTATGCATTCAGCCACTTTTTTCCCATTTTCAGTTGAGACGATAAGCAACTTCGTTGTAGGTTCTCTTTTTAGTTTTTTTTAATGTAATTCAGTGGTGATGGTTCAATAGTATAGTTCGGAGAAAATTATATCGTCTTAAATATCAATTTTGACGAAGCAGGCGAAGAAGGCCGCAAAGCGAGCTGTTGGTGAAGCAAGGGGTCGGGCATATGAGGACCTCTACCAACGGTTAGGCACGAAGGAAGGTGAAAGGGACATCTATAAGATGGCCAAGATCCGAGAGAGGAAGACGAGGGATATTGGCCAAGTCAAATGCATCAAGGACGGAGCAGGCCAACTCTTGGTGAAGGACGAGGAGATTAAGCATAGATGGCGGGAGTACTTCGACAAGCTGTTCAATGGGGAGAATGAGAATTCTACCATTGAACTGGACGACTCCTTTGATGAGACCAGCATGCGTTTTGTGCGGCGAATCCAGGAGTCTGAGGTCAAGGAGGCTTTAAAAAGGATGAAAGGAGGCAAGGCGATGGGCCCTGATTGTATCCCCATTGAGGTGCGGAAAGGTCTCGGGGACATAGCGATAGTATGGCTAACCAAGCTTTTCAACCTCATTTTTCGGGCAAACAAGATGCCAGAAGAATGGAGACGGAGTATATTAGTACCAATCTTCAAGAACAAGGGGGATGTTCAGAGTTGTACTAATTACCGTGGAATTAAGCTGATGAGCCATACAATGAAGCTATGGGAGAGAGTCATTGAGCACCGCTTAAGAAGAATGACAAGCGTGACCAAAAATCAGTTTGGTTTCATGCCTGGGAGGTCGACCATGGAAGCCATTTTCTTGGTACGACAACTTATGGAGAGATATAGGGAGCAAAAGAAGGACTTGCATATGGTGTTCATTGACTTGGAGAAGGCCTATGATAAGATACCGTGGAATGTCATGTGGTGGGCCTTGGAGAAACACAAAGTCCCAGCAAAGTACATTACCCTCATCAAGGACATGTACGATAATGTTGTGACAAGTGTTCGAACAAGTGATGTCGACACTGATGACTTCCCGATTAAGATAGGACTGCATCAGGGGTCAGCTTTGAGCCCTTATCTTTTTGCATTGGTGATGGATGAGGTCACAAGGGATATACAAGGAGATATCCCATGGTGTATGCTCTTTGCGGATGATGTGGTGCTAGTTGACGATAGTCGGACGGGGGTAAATAGGAAGTTAGAGTTATGGAGACAAACCTTGGAATCGAAAGGGTTTAGGCTTAGTAGAACTAAAACCGAGTACATGATGTGCGGTTTCAGTACTACTAGGTGTGAGGAGGAGGTTAGCCTTGATGGCCAGGTGGTACCTCAGAAGGACACCTTTCGGTATTTGGGGTCAATGCTGCAGGAGGATGGGGGTATTGATGAAGATGTGAACCATCGAATCAAAGCCGGATGGATGAAGTGGCGCCAAGCTTCTGGCATTCTCTGTGACAAGAGAGTGCCACAAAAGCTAAAAGGCAAGTTCTACAGGACGGCGGTTCGACCCGCAATGTTGTATGGCGTTGAGTGTTGGCCGACTAAAAGGCGACATGTTCAACGGTTAGGTGTTGCGGAGATGCGTATGTTGAGATGGATGTGTGGCCACACGAGGAAGGATCGAGTCCGGAATGATGATATATGAGATAGAGTTGGGGTAGCACCAATTGAAGAGAAGCTTGTCCAACATCGTCTGAGATGGTTTGGGCATATTCAGCGCAGGCCTCCAGAAGCTCCGGTGCATAGTGGACGGCTAAAGCGTGCGGAGAATGTCAAGAGAGGGCGGGGTAGACCGAATTTGACATGGGAGGAGTCCGTTAAGAGAGACCTGAAGGATTGGAGTATCACCAAAGAGCTAGCTATGGACAGGGGTGCGTGGAAGCTTGCTATCCATGTGCCAGAGCCATGAGTTGGTTGCGAGATCTTATGGGTTTCACCTCTAGCCTACCCCAACTTGTTTGGGACTAAAGGCTTTGTTAAATATCAATTTTCTCTATCCATGTTGCCAGACCTGAAGGATTTGAGTTGTTGTTGTTGTGTTAAATATCAATTTTGACGGGCCACTTATGATGTATGTTCAACAATTCAGTATTATATTTTCTCTGAAACAATTCGTTTCCTATTAGTTTTCCTCTTGCGTTGTTCATTTTGTTCAGGCATCAAATTTGTTGGTATGCTCCGCCTAGTCATTCTTAGTTCTAGTCAATCTAGATTATCATTGGTTACAGTCTGTTTTAGTCAGAATTAGCTTTTTTTACTTAGTTCTAGCCATACTAGATACTAGATGTGCTCTGCTTATTTCCTATCTAGTTCTAGTTCAGACCAGATGAAAAAAGGGAATGAACAATGTTTCCAGATCTCCTATGCTTAGTCATACATAGTTCTGGTCAGACTATATCATCTTAAGTTTTGCAGTTTGTACTAGTTAGACTAGTAGTACATTAGAAGCTATCTTCAGTCTGCCTGACAGATATCCAAACTTAGGTGGAATTCTAGTCTTGTTCAGTATCTATATTTAATATATATTTTTGGTTTCTATCTAGGATTGTCCAGATTTGAATCACAATTCAAAACCATAACAGATAATAACTTGTCAGTATTGGTGTTATCTGATAAACTGTTCGAATGGAGAGGCGCTGGGATCAAGGGGGCGCTCCTGCTGTCTCCGGTCAGCATGATGGCCCCCCTATGGTCGAGTTGCCTTCTCCGTTATCGGCGGCCGGAGCTGCGCTGCGTGAGATGGAAGCCCCGTAATTTTCCTTTCCCTTTCTTTTTCCCAGTAGTTCCTGCTGACCCGGGTGGTCTTTCTATGTATGCTGAACCATGTAACTGTACTTTTCGCTCCTACCTTAATATAAATGAAAGCAGCGCTGTTGCTCTTTGTAAAGAAAAAAGTTCAGATAGTCGACTCAGCAGTTAATGTTCAGAGAGCATGCATCATTGTTCTGTTCATTCTTTCAGATGATATTATCTTATTTGGTATCTTTTCAATTTCTTTCTTTACTCTTTCTGGTCCAAGCGTGAGTTACGTAACACTAGACAGTCCTGCATTATTTAGCCAGTCTATTTAATGCATTGTATTTTTCTTTCTCAGTCCCAGTATGTCAGTTTAATTCATCTATCATTTGGTTTATCAGTAAAATTTCTTTAGTCATCAGTATTTTTGTTGCTTTATTATTTTCTGGATTTCATTGTCTCATTGTTACTTAAGTACTTGAGTCTTCAGACTCATTCTTTGAAATTCAGTTTATTGATCTTCAGTGCACATGTTTATTCATTATTTCAGTAAGGCCCTTCTCACTGGTCAGATTTTCATTTTTCAAGCTCCTACTTATCAGTCATTCCTGAGTCTATCAGGTTTCTTCATTTTTTATTTCTTTCCTTCAGTATATATGTCCTCAGTTTTCTTCAGTTTCGGATTTCTGTATTTGGTCCTTAAATTTTAAAATCACTCATTCTCCAGTCTTTCAGTCTTACCTTCTCAGTCATCTTCAATATTCATTGAACATCAAGGCTATGCGATCAGGTCAGGTTTGGGCAAAGGTTTTTCCAGTGTTCGTTTTTTGCGTTCTGTCGCTATCTAGGATTACTCAGATTTTCCCTTTTTTAGATAACATCGCCACAACTTTGTCATTATTATTGTTCCTCACATGAGGATTTGGTTTTTCAGTTTCGTCAATAGTTTCAATGTTAGGTGTCATTTTCATCAGTTTCCTCAGTAGTTTCAGTGTTCGGTGTCATTTTCTTCAGTTTCGTCAAAAGTTTCAGTGCTAGGTGTCATTTTCTTCAGTTGTGTGAGTTACCACATAGGTAGGTTAGTTAGCTAGTTTAGCATGTTTTCAGACAGTTTTCAGTCTATCTACATCTCTCATTTCAGTACTTTAGTCTTCATTTTATTTCTTCACAATAATTTCTTTTTCAGCCCTTCTTTTGCCAGTTTTTATTTCTTCCTTTCCAGATCGGATCAGATACACGCTAGAAATGGATTAAATGGGGGTGTCGGTGTCGTCGAATCCTACCACGATCAGATACATGCTTGAAAGTCAGAGATACAACTCTTACAGCAAAATCATTTTTGTGGGTCTGCGCCAATAACCCGCTGAAATCCGTGTCGGTTCTAGTGACTGTAGCAGCAAGAAGGAGCTGCCTGTTTGCGGGGTGGGGTCTCAAGACTGAGCTTTTTGGGCTTGAAGGTTAGGTCAATTTTTGGGCATTCAGTTCAGTTCAATTATGGGTAAGGTTTGCTCTGCCTCTCTTTTTTGTGTTTTTCCGCAACGTTCTAAGAGCTTTACTTTTGTCATACAACGGAGTAGGGCCCTGTGGATCCTCTTATTTCTTTGAATGTTGTCT